CGTCTCGTGGTATCCGACAGGGTGACCCGATCTCTCCCTACCTGTTTGTTTTGTGCATCGAAAGGCTGGCTCATATGATCGATGTTGCCGTGACTAGTGGCGACTGGAAACCAATGACAGTGGGGCGGGAGCAGGTATCGATCCTGTATCTGATGTTCGCGGACGACTTGCTCTTATTTATTGAGGCTAGCCTGACGCAATCATCTTTGTTGAAAAGCGTGTTGCGTCTCTTCTGCGAGGCGTCGGGTCTTCGAGTAAGCGAGCCTAAGATGACTGTCTACTTCTCTTCCAATGTTGTGGCGGACACTCGTGCCGCTCTGAGCCAGCATTTGGGATTTCGGGCCGTTGATAATTTGGGAAGTACTTGGGTATGCCTCTTATACATAGTAGGGTGACCAAAGCTGCGTATGTCGAGATCTTGGAGAAAGCCGAGAAGAGACTAGCTGGTTGGAAGGCTTCGTGCCTTTCCATGGCGGGTAGGGTTACTTTGGCTCAAACAGCCGTAAGTTCGCTCCCGTACTTTTCCATGCAGACTGCTTCTTTGCCTTATGGGGTTTATGATAGTCTGGAAAGGAAGTGCCGTAATTTCATTTGGGGCGGTACTTCGTCATCCCGGAGGATTAGCTTGGTCTCTTGGTCTGAAGTGTGTAAGCCCAAGACGGATGGCGGATTAGGCATGAAAGATCAGCGGCTCATGAATCGTGCCCTTTTGATGAAGCTCGCATGGTCTTTCTTAATACAGCCGGACCTTCTATGGTGTCGTGTTCTACGGGCTAAATATAACTTGCTACCTTTGTCGATGAGTGCAGATTTTTCTTTTCCCTCGGGCTCGACGGTGTTGCGATCAATTCGGGATGTGTGGAAAGACACGCTAATGGGGTGTCGTTGGTCCTTGGGTAATGGTTAGTTGGTCCGCTTTTGGTGGGACAGGTGGTCTAATTGCGCGTCTCCTCTGATTAATTTCGCGTTGGCTCCTGTCCCGGATTCGTTAATCAACTCGTCGGTGGCAGAGTTTGTGACACAAGATGGTCGCTGGAATTGGGCTTTATTTCAGGGTTTGTTGCCAGCCACGTGCCTGCTTCGGATTTCCGCGATTCCACCTCCGCCTGCGCATGGACCTAAGGATACGGTGTTTTGGGGTCTGTCGGCTAATGGCCAGTTCTCGACAAAATCCGCGTACTCAGCTCTCGCCACGGTCCCGGGGCAGCGTGGTGATCGACTTTGGTCGCTCATTTGGAAGTGGGTGGGCCCGCAGCGGGTGCGCCATTTTTTGTGGCTTGCCGCTCGAGACTGTTTGCTAACGAACGCCGCGCGATTCCGGCGCCATATGTCCTCGGATTCACAGTGTCCGATCTGTTTGGCCGCTTGTGAGACTACTTTACATGTGTTGCGGGATTGTCCGGATGCGACACGCACTTGGGAGACATTGCTACCGCGCGCATCTTGGTCAGTCTTCTTTTCTTTGGATCTCCGACAATGGATTTTGCAGAACTTGGGTGGTGATTTCAGTCGTGTCTCTGAGGACTGGCCTTCGGTTTTTGGGCTGACATCGTGGCGTCTTTGGCGCTGGCGCAACCTGTCCGTTTTCCAAGGGGCTGTGACCCCCTTACCCCGTCGCTATTGCCGAGGTGTCCTCCTTTGTTCGTACTGTGAGCGGCTCCATGGCAGGAAGTCAGAAATTGGGTGTTCGTGGCCAGCGAGAACGACGATGGATATCGTGGTCGTGTCCACCGGAGGGAGTTCTCAAGGTTAATACGGATGGTAGCTTCGACCCTTCATCGGGGATGGCGAGCGCCGGTGGGGTTATCTGAGATCACTACGGTAATTGGGTTCACGGATTTTTGATGAATATCGGATTTTGTTCCATTACTGGGGCCGAGCTTTGGGGATTGTTTCAAGGGCTCCAGCTGGCCTAGGACGTTAGAGCGCGCAAAATACAAGTCGAGGTGGACAACCTGAGTATAATTGAGATGGTCCGGCAGGGTCTTCATTCCGGAGTTCACCGTGGTCTTTTGGATGGCATAAGAGACCTCCTGAGTCGTCCATGGGAGGTGAAGCTTAGCCACGGTTATCGTGAGTCGAACTTTGTGGCGGACTTTTTGGCTTCGGTGGCGGCTAGAGGTCCAGGTGGTTTTTTGGCCTTGGCGAGTCCTCCGTCCGGGGTGGACATGTGGTTGCATCACGATAGGGTTGGGGTTTCGTACCCTCGGGCGGTTCCTATCTAGGCTAGCGTAGCCTCCTTTTTTGTACCAAAAAAAAAAAAAACAATAATTTATTTTTGTGGATAGTATTTTTTCTGGACTAATGCTATATTGACACAATTTATTTACAAAATTATTTAATATAATGATGTGTAAGTATTTTAAATTGTTAATTTTAAAAGGGAATGTAAAATCACAAAACCGTGACACTGAGTGTATTGTATCAAAATTGGCAAAGATTCAAATTTGGAAGCCTTTTTTTTTTTGTAACAACCTTATCTGTTTGGATTTTTTTATTTTTATTTTAACTACTTTGATAATTATCTAAGGTTTAAAAAATCTTACATACATTTTTTTAAATCCTTGTCTTTAGTAACTAAATTGATAATATTTTGTAAAAAAACGTCTTGATTAATGCGTAAGCTTTAAAAAATCTTAAATACATCTATTCAAATCATTATCTTTAGTAACCAAATTGAATTTTTTGTTTTTTTTTTGTTTTTTTTTTTGTTTTTTTTTTTGTTTTTTTGTAAAAATCGCCTTGATTAATGCTTTTGAAAATTTGATTTTTCAATTAATCCAAAAGTCTTACCTTATTTGATGATAATAAAGTCCATTATTTTTGTAAAAATAATGTCAAGTTGATGTGGTGAAATAATTTTCAATCCCATATGTCATCCTCACGTATACTTTGAATCTTTTTTTTTTTTTTTTTTT